CTCTTGGGAAAGTGAAAAATGGTGTGAAAATCAGAAGCCTGATAGGACTTGGAAAGAAATGGTCTTTGTGAAAGTATTAATATCTCCTCTCATTGCACATGTGAATTGTTTTTAGAAGAGAGGGGATGGGTGATTTGGCAAGTGTTACTTGAGGGTATAAACATTGATATTTGTTCGTATCTCATAAAAAGATGAGCAAGTAGGGAGTGATATGATCTGCTGAAAAAGATGGCCTAGAGTAGTGGTCACAGGCATTGGTTCCAGAGCCAAGAGAGTTCAAATTCTGACTCCCCCGCTTTGCTGCTCAACCATAGGAAAATTTCCTGACTTCCCTCAGGCTCAGATTCCACATCCATACAAACAGATATGCATAGTCCCTACCTCATAGGGTTATTCTGATGATCAAATTAAAATAGTTTCAATAGTTTCTAGTTCATAGTAAGTGCTTTAAAAAATGTTATTTTTTAAGAGTCATAAAGGACCTGGATAAGAGGAGGAAAGAATAGGATTCATAAATATTTTAGTACTACTAGAAATATTTTATTGATTACCATCTGCTGATTGCTATGTGCCAGAGATCTCATTCAATCTCCCAAGACCCCTAGGAGATAAAGTTACTATTAATATCCCTTCTTTTCAGAGAAGGAATCTGAGCATCTTGGAGATTGGGTTTCATGCCCAAGGACACTCAGATAATGAGAAATTGTGGTACATTCCCCTGAGAAGTCATATCTATGAGCCTGTTTCCCAGTATGGATGGCACACATGGGCCCCCATCACAAAAGTCCATCAAAAACAAAGTCAGAGGGCATCGGGTGGATGGTGGGAGCGAAGCGATCCTGAGTGTCTTGCCCTTCACTTTCATCACACGTCCAGAGCCTGTCCATCACCTACGTCCTCTAACTGTGAGAGCCCAGACGCCTGGATTTTGCTGGCTTGCCGTTTTGTGGGTGCCACACTGTCCGGGCATTCAGAAAACAAGGCACTAAGGCATGATAGCTACGAGTGGGTCTTGGAGTCAGATGCCTGCGTGTGAATCTCAGTCCTGGCACTCACTAGCCATGTGACTGTGAGCTCTGTGTGTTTTAGCACCACTTGTCTTGTAGGATAAGTAGCCTTCTTGGGCTGGGGAAGAAACTACAAGCCTTAATCTTATTTTACTTTAAAGAGATATTTGTATGTAGCCCAAATAACATTCTTTTATTAACATAGCTCTTTTATTTTAGGAGGTTAAAATAGGTTGGACTTTGGACATTCATTAAACATGTCATGTAATACATGAGGAGTTTTATAACACTAAATTAGTACTCCCATAGAAGTGGTAGTACCAACTAGAAATAAGTCTAGTGGAAATCTTCAGAACCTAAAATTGAATCTGTCTGTATTCTGTATATGACCTTCCCCCTGCTCACATAGAGCTTAGGATCTTATTGAAGAGATGGGATGAATGTCTGTAAAGTAAATAAAAATCCCAGGTAGTGTGTGCTCATTGCCGCATAAGTGTTATAGCTGTGTTACAGACATTTATTGAGAACCTACACCGTGCTAGGCAATGGAGATAGGACAGAGAATAAGACACACTCCTACAAAACACTGGGCAAATGGGATTGTCCATCTGAGAAAGCTAAGGACCCATGTCAGGTGTTCAGAGACCATGGTCCTTCCACAAATGTAGAGTGAGCACCTGTAATGTATTGCGTGACTTTATGTAACCTTTTTTTATCCCCCTTGAAATTGCTCTAAAAGGATGACCCAGCTAGGGGCCACTGGCTGCAATAGAGTAGTTCCTTCTTGAGCTTAGTGTGGCCAGATGTTAAGTAGCAAGTGAGGTGTTGTCAGTGTAACTGACCAGTGGAGAAACAGGCTCAGCACAAAGTGTGGATGGAATAAAGAAAATGCTACAGGCTTTTGAGGTTCATTTTACATAAGAAAATGTCATTCCTCATTCTTGGATAATTGGACTGAATAAATGCAATATATGTCATTATATATGTACATATTTTACATAGTCAAAAGTTGTGAAATTGGTATCCTTTGGCTTCAGAGGCCTTATAAAATAATAGGAGGGTGCATGAGATATCAGTGAAACATAAAGCTTCACAACATTTTAATACCAGTTCAAATAATGAAGGTTGTCTATGAGCAGTACTACTTGCCATGTGGGTAAGTCACACAATTAAGGCTGATTTCAAAAGAGGTAATGCTCTTTCTCTTGCAGTTTTCATAGAATTCTTAGTAGAGGAAGGGGAGATATGAGATAGAACTAAAGAGTGTATACAATGTATATAAACAGAAATAACTGTCCTAGCCTTAATCTGGTGTATTAGTGTTCCTTTTAATTATTAAAAAAAAAAAAAAAGTTCCAAAGGCTAAGAATAAGCATTTTTAAGAAATAGAAGGGGAAGGGATCTCAAAGGAAGCCCCTGTTAACTGTAGTAGTGATGGATGGATGGGAGCTGTTTACTAACAGGTTTGAGATGGTACTGAGAGATGGCGGCTGAGGCCATGCTCTTGGGTCACAGACAATTTAGAGGCACATCCCAATGTGTTACTCATTGTCCTGTGACTTCTGCCAACCTGTTTTACCCACTAGGCATCCTCCACAGTACCCTTGGTCTAGGTGCTCCTCAAAGGATCACAAGAATGTTGGAGATGTGGAATGCATGCTCTGCAAAACCAGATTTAATATATAGGTAACAAAAGCCACATTATAGTCTATAATCCAACCCAGTATTATTCAGTTACTGTATTAGGTAGGGTTCTTCAGAAAAACAGAACCAATATGGATCTAAATGTAGGAAGAGATTGGTTTTAAGAACTTGGCTCATGTCATTACAGAAGCTAAGAAGTCCCACGACCTGCTGTGTGTAAGATGGAGACCCAGGGAGGCTGGTGGCATAATTCAGAGTGAGTCCCAAGGCTCACTAAGAACCAGTGGTCAGTGGTGTAGATTCCAGTCTGGGTCTATAGGCTTGAGAACAAGGAGTGTTGAGGGCAGGAGAAGATTGATATCCCAGCTCAAGCAATTAGGCAGGAAGGGCCTAATTCTTCCTTCCTCCACCTTTTTTTTTTTTTGTAAAGATTTTTTTTTTTAATTTTTATTTATTTGACAGAGAGAGACACAGCAAGAACAGGAACGCAAGCAGGGGCAGAGGGAGAGAGAGAAGCAGGCTTCCCACGGAGCAGGGAGCCCAATGTGGGGCTCAATCCCAGGACCCTGGGGTCATGACCTGAGCCAAAGGCAGACGCTTAACGACTGAGCCACCCAGGCGCCCCATTCCTCCACCTTTTTGTTCTATTCAGGCCCTCAATGAGATTGGTGGATGCCCACCTGCACTGGGGAGGGCCATCGGCTCTGCTACATCCACCGCATCACATGCCACTCTCATCTGGAAACACCCTCACAGACACACCCAGCAACCATGTTTAGCCCAATATCTGGGTACCTCATGATCCAAGTAAAGTTGACACATAAAATTAACCACCACATGTATAAAGAACACAATAAAGTTTAAATCACAAGGGCAAAATAATATGTGCATAATAAGACAACATTCTTATGAAATTTACATCAAAAAAGTTGTATTTAATGGAGACTATGGGTACTTTTTGATCTATTTGACATGATGTGGTTTCGGGTCTTAAAAAGTAAAAGTGTCTACGGGCAGAAAAAGATCTTAAATGTGCCCACATGAAATGTCTCTTTGCCTGCTGCAACTGTCTGTAGGGTTGTTGCAAGGGAGAATTTAGCTAGTACATCTGGAGTACATGTGATGGTTTTACTCAAAATGTTAGCTTAGACTAATAGCTATCATTCACCAGGACGTTCTTTTAAATGACCATACATAATGTTAAGTTGAAGCATTTTTTTCTGATTTTATTTGCAGTAGTCTGTTACTGGTATCAAAAAGATTAAATAGTTTCCAAAAAAAAAAAAAGATGAAATACTTTTATAGTTGCTACACAAGTTCATTTAACTAGACGCATCAGTATGCTAGGGTAAATCTGGATTTGGAATAACCGTGGTTAATGGAAGATTTCTAGACATAACACTGCAAGACGATTCTAGAAATTGGCACATGAATACAAGATGTTATTCTGCCCCTTTTTGTGGCATCAAAGAACTACACCAAAAAAGGTATAAAAATAAACACCTTTCCTTCAAAGTGCAGGATACTGCCTGGCTAAGTTTAATTGAAAAACTAATATCCAGTGCAATTGTCTGTGATAAGCTGAGGCTTAAATGATTTGAAAACACTCTGGGAGCAGACAAATCAGATAATCACCATCTTTATGGCTGGGAGGGTTCAGCTGGTGATGACAAGTTGTAAAGATAAAAGCTTATTGCAAAGGCAAGAGCTAAATGTCTAGATTGGGTTGGGGAATCAATGTTAAATAATACTCAAAGTGTAAAAAGCAGTGAATGCCAAATGATCTCTCATAGTGTTCTGTTTTGTTTAACTTTTCAAGATGATAGTGCAGAACTTTATTTACTGAAAACTTGTTTCCTTAATGTCATTAGGTGGATACCTTAAAGTGTTAGGGTGTCCTCCACCATCCACCCACTGCCTAGATATTGGATGTGTTCTGTGATTTGTGCCCTGCACTGCAATCAGAGGGCTCCAGCTGCTGCTTTTCAAAACATCTCCAGTTGGGTGACTATTAATAGTTGATGAGAGACAAGAGTTAGACTGTGCCATTTCTTAGGCATCTTCTTCTTCTTTTTTTTTTTTTAAGTCAACATGGTATTTGCCTCATGGCCTCACTCTGATCTCAGCAAGAACACTTTCAAAAGAAGTACCTTGTTTTTTTCAAAAGCTGTTTGCATGAGTTGATTCAGCGCTCCCTTATCATGGAGTGAAAGCCAAGGGCAAAATAATGCGCTTTGGGTTGTGTGAAGGATTCACCCTACACTTAGCTCCACTCACTGTGCTGTGTGTGCCCCCAGGTGACATGTCCAAACTCTCCAACCTCTGTTTGCTTTTTTCTTTTGTTTACAGGAGCGGAGGGCACAGTGTTCCCTAAATCTATAGAGACACCTAATGTCAGGGCAGACCCCTTCAAGGAACTAAGGTAAACTTCTGACTATGGTTTGCATTGATTAGTGGCTATTTCCTTTGGGCAACTGGCTGATGATCCATTCTGAGCATTTGGAATGTAACAGTGTCACAACATGAATATACAAACTGGTAGAGATTAGAAAGGGCGTGAAGATAAGCTACATCCAAGAGAAAATTCTCTCTCAGAAGAAGACTGAGGGTTTGGAGGAAGAGGTTGCCAGCCTTGTAATTAGGAGATTCGGGATTCATTCGTTCACGGTGTTTTGTTTCCTGCTGTGTTTTGTGGTACCCAAAACCTAACCAGTTACACAACTAGTCAGTAATTGGTGCTGATCAGCCCAAAGAAAAGTGGTACCTGAAAGAAACTGAACTCTAAAAACTATACAGATTTTTGCTTGTGTGTGACAAGCTCTCCATCACTTGGACCATTAATGGTACTAGAACTACTTTCTGTGAATATTCCATGTACTGGTGTTAATCTTCAAATATCCATAATTGTGCTGCCTTTAGCAGAAAAAGGCTCTGAGATGCTGTGTACTTAGCACCAACAACTAAGGAAAACAAAAAAGAACAATAGGTACAGACAGAGATAAAGATATGACCTAAAAACCATCCCTGGCTCCAAAAAGGAAACATAAAAAATGGTATTTTGAAACAAATATAACTATATGTTTTGCTATATACGATGCAGGCAGGCCAGGAGCCGGAGGGGGCTCCCGCAAAACCCAGCTAAGAGGCTCCTTGACTTCATGCAGGATAGGAATCAAATGCGAGTTGGGAGAGTGAAAGCAGAATTTATTGAATAGCAGGAGGGACAGACAGAAAATAGCAGATGGAATGGAGTTTCTGGGAGACTCAGAAAGGAAAGGAGAAGGAGTCTCAATGTCACTTGGGTTTAGGGGCTTATATTGGAAAGGGGTCTAAGGTGTGTGTTCCTCCAGGAAGCCAGAGTAGGGTCTGATCAAAGGCAAGGGTCAGGGGAACAGCAGGTGTCATTCCACACATCACTGAAGGTAGGTAGTGTTGATGCCATCGTTGGCCAAGGTATGTCAGAAGCTTATGTCCTGGGACATGTTTGGGATCCAGCTCTTCTTAGATGTTATCAGGTGTTCCGGACCTAGGACAAAACTCAGAGAATGATTAACTCTCTAGCTTCCCCCTTGAAGTGGGAACATAGCTTCTTTGGCTAACTCAGAAACAGGACCTAGCAGAAAAACAGCAGACATGGAGCCAGTTCTAAAGTGGAGTCCCTTCAGCTTCCCTATCTCACTTATAGTCATGAACAATTCAGCACATACTGGCTTTCTTCATTTCTTATAGTTCTTTTAACTAAAACCCCTCATAAATCATTATCAATAACATTGCATATTTAATAGTAGACCTCAAACATTAGCAGATGTGTTCGGAAGAGGATAATTCATAGAGAAAGAGAACATTTTCTTATCAAAATCCCATATACAGTGGGATGTAGTTTTCACATTATACGCCCCATTGAAAGGCTTTACTTTTCCCTAGAAGAGTTGCTTCCCTCTCAGGGCTGCTACCTGCCAGAAGTTACCTGACTCTCTGTCAGCCAGATCCTGTGTTTCATATTACGTACTAAAGCTGGAATCTTTGCAGCAAATCCACCCAAGGAAACCTGTATTTTAGGACTCCGAGAGCAAGCTCATTCTCTGAGAATGCAGTGAATCCTCATGTGTGTGATGTGAGAGCCCTTTGAAACAAGCTAATATGTGGGCTGGTTCCCTTTCTTTTCACAGACCTCCTTAGGAGCAGGGTTCTTTTTAACACAACTAGTCAGTAATTACTGCTGATCAATCCAAAGAAAAATGCTGTCTAAAAGAAGCTGACCTAGAAGCTCCTGAGCGCCTCAGTCAGTTAAGCTTTGGACTCTTGATTTGGGCTCAGGTCATGATCTCAGAGTTGTGAAATCAAGCCTCATGGCTGGCTCCATGCTCAGCAGGGAGTCTGCTTTTCCTCTCCCTCTGCTCCTCCCCCTGCTCTCTTTCTCCCTCTCAAATAAATAAGTAAAATCTTTAAAAAATAAATTTTAAAAAATAAAAGAAACTGTCCTCTAAATATAATACAGCACCCCCCCCGACCCCCCCCCCCATGGAATAAGCTCTCCATTACCTGGAAGGCATGGAAAGTTTAAGAATCAAGAATTTAGGCTAACTTTGCTTTAAACAGAAAACTAAACCTTCTGTGAATAAAAACAAACCCAACCCACATCAAACAAAAAGACAACTCTCCAAACATCAGCCCACTTTAGAGATCCATATTCTGAAAAATCGAGAACAGATGATTTGCTTATAGAGCGCAATAGCCGTACTTACGGTCATCTGTAGACCCTGTGGAAAACCCTGGGAACTGGTCTTAGAAAAAACTGAATCTCCAGAATTAGAAGTGAATCTCCTAAGTGCAACAAATAAGGACTTCTGGTAGTTGCTGCATTTCCATTGTTTATTCTCAAGTTGTAGACATATTCTATAGAGACTAGAAATAAAATTTTCTTACGGGAAACATAAAAACACTTTAATATGTAATTCTACAACTGTTTGTTTCTTTGCTCCTATTCAAATTGTGTTGATGGTTGATAGCCTGAAGTGAGTCAGGGCCTAGAATGTGATAATTAGCCCCTTCATCCTTATGATTTTTTTTTTTTTATTTTAATGGCACTCTGTGGGAGAATGTGTGACCAATTGAAAGATAATCCAATGTAGTAGATACATTAGCCCAGCCCAGTGCGTCTGTGGATGTTTCACATTTGTCAGCAAATGGTGCCACATTTTACTCTATGCAATTGAATGGTATTGACCTTGGATATTGAATAAATAGGTAACGAACGTTTTCTGGCCTCTGGCTTTACAGCTGGATCAATTGTACTGACCCAGCTCATTTGTGCCCGTGTGTCTTCTAGTCTTAGGCAAGTAGAATAATCTGAGGGAGATTCCTGGATTTGTGCCAGCAGGTAGCACTGAGTGAGCTGTGTAGGTGAAGCAGAAGTGGTTCACTCCTCAGGAGCAGCACAACAGAGTTGGAGGAGTACCGAGCTGGGGGGCAGAATCCTACAGCAAACACACTATGTAGCCTTGAGCTAATCTGGGAGCCCTGATGTCTATACAAAGCCAGGTCACTCTCAGCTCCAAACTTCAGGCTCACATTATTTTATTTAGGCTCACTTTTATTTTAAAATAATTTTAGATTAAATGAAGAATTGCAATAATCATACATATTATTCCCTTGAACCCTTTACCTAGGATTTCTGATGGTAACATTTTACATACCCATGATATGTGTATCAAAACTAAAAAATTAACATTGTAGCCCCATAATATTTTTGTGTAAGATCTGCTGAAAAGGATGCAATCACCTGAATTTCTTACAGATCCAGAAAATGTGTAAAAAAGGAGTTTAACAGAAAAGTTATTTGTTGAGACATGAATTAATGGATCTTGAAAACTCCCACTGCAGTTAAGTTGGAATGTTTTTAATGAGAAGCGTTTTGTTTTGTTTTGTTTTTTAAATCATGTTCTCTACCCAGATTTTCTTGGTCTTTTTTTTTTTAAAGATTTTATTTATTTATTTGAGAGAGAGAGAGAGCATGAGAAGGAAGAGGGTCAGAGGGAGAAGCAGACTCCCTGCTGAGCAGGGAGCCCGATGCGGGACTCGATCCCGGGACTCCAGGATCATGACCTGAGCTGAAGGCAGTCGCTTAACCAACTGAGCCACCCAGTCTTGGTCTTACTTGTCAATGCGAAGCAAATTGAGTTAAAAGACTACAGGTTATTTATGCATAGACCATCTTCTGCAATAAACAAGCAAAAATTAAATCCATCTATGTCCTTCACTTACTCAAAAAATCAAACATGGGAAAATACCATCTATTTTAGAGACCTTTTCTGTTGGTATAACTTCTTTCTTCCAACGTCTGTTTTTGGCTTTTGAAGGTTTTTTGTTTTGTTTGTTTGTTTGTTTGCTTGCTTGCTTGTTAATGAGAAGGAAATTTTAGGCCTCCTGCACATCTTCTTAGAAGATCTCAACCCTCAGCTCAAGGAGTGGTAGCTTCTTCTCTGCTAGAGTTTCAAGTTTCGGTTCACTACTTTCCTTTTCAGAGTTACTATAGTTACTGTATTCACAGTGTTTCCTTAAGATGTTTGTAAATAATCCAGGGTTGAGTTGAAAATCACAAAAGAGGGTTGCTTCTCTCCAGACAAATAATCGGTGTTAGCAAGGTCTCAGCCCAGCATCCAACTCGGGCGGTTTGTTGAGTTTGCCTCTGTAGGACAATTCTGAAATAATGACATGTTGCTCTAGATTCAAGACTCTACTGAAGACATCTACCAGGCACTTGGCCTATCTCTTGAAATCAGAAAAACTAACTTGGAATAGAAACTGGATTTTAATAAATTCACGATCTGAAATTCCCAATCTGCATATATTAAATGTTCGCTTGTTCATTATTTCTTTTTCCTGGTGTCTGTATATATAAAGACAAATGGAAAAATCCCTGATCTCAGGCTGTGCATGATCTGAGACGGGAAATGGGCTATTTAGTTTTGCATATGTATTTTCTGTAAGAACAGAAGCTACCTTTGAATACCTACCTTGCTCTAAGGATTTTTTTCAACTGTGAAGCTTCCCTGTAAGATTCTGATCCTACAAGAATAGGAAATAGACTGCGAAATCTTATTTCCCGGACATATGCCAGGGCAAATGTAAAAAATGGGAGAAGGTTACATAGACCACTGAACACATATAGCCAACTCTGTTCCTCTAGATATCACTAAAAGCTTGGAAGGAACCACAAAAGAGCAAGAAGCCAAAAGGTCTTTATAAAAGAATTCTTCATCAGCTAATGTGCCGACATGCTTTTACTCTGCATACAGTTATGACATGGGTGATGACCTGATTTCCGTTTCATCACAGCTCAGGGAACTGTTTGCCAGGTAAATTTTTTGACACTTATTAGGAGTTGAGGCATCTGCTAAATACTTAGAATACAGAGATAAA